TACAACACTAGTTGGTGGGTTGGGGGGGGGGGGTCATAGGACTCCCGTAAAGTTTAAGTGTCCTTTTGGAAATCATGGACTAGTTTAGGGGGGAGTTTATGTATTTTCCCATCAAATAAACATTCTCATATTACATGCTTCTCCAAAACTGTATTTGCTTTTGCAACTTGTCATTAGATTACAAGAAAGTTAGATTCTACACTGTATTGACATCATAAGAGAGTTTAACTTAACAAATTTCATAAATAGAAGTATATATGTAAGAAGGGGAACCTTGGAGCAACGGTAAAGTTGTCTCCGGGTCACAGGTTCGAGCCCTGGAATCAGCCACTAATGCTTGCATTAGGGTAAGCTACCTACATCACACCTCCTTGGGGTGCAGCCCTACATCACAGCTACTAATGCTTGCATCAGGGTAGGACTCCCACAAAGTTTAAGTGTCTTTTTGGACATGGACTAGTTTAGGGGGGGAGTTGATGTATTTTCCTATCAAATAAACAGTCTCATATTACATGCTTGAGGAAAACTGTATTTGCTTTTGCAACTTGTCATTAGATTGTAAGAAAGTTAGATTCTACACTGTACTGACATCATAAGAGAGTTTGACTTAACAAATTTCATAAATAGAAGTTTATATGTAAGAAGGGGAGCCTTGGAGCAATTGTAAAATTGTCTCCGTGTGACCTATAGGTCACCGGTTCGAGCCATAGAATCAGCCATTGATGCTTGCATCAGGATAGACTGCCTATATTGCACCTCCTTGGAGTGCGGCCCTTCCCCCGATCCTGCGTGAACGCGGGATGCTTCGTGCACCGGGCTGCACCTCTTTTAGAAGTATATATGTAAATTGACTGTCAGTAAATTTTTGTAGGTGATTCTGCAGTGGATTTCTCAGGCATGCGCTCAATTGATGACAAAGAAATACTTGTCCATTCTGCATCAATGGATACTGTAACTCTTTCATGAACACGATAAAACTGACTGATCAACATGCCATTTTATGGTTTCTGGAGGTAATACATTGAGTCTTCAATTCAAGTTCTGACCTCTTCCCACACAGATGACCATGTACAACATTTAACTGTAAAAGTAACAATATATAGGACCTCTGGGTAGGTTTCTTCTTGGCAGCTACCAATAGGAGTTTTTTCAAACTTGAAAGTTGTGTATACAAACATTAAGAGATTGTCTTAATTGTATCTGTCTAGAGTCTCCTTTTCAGTTCTTATCCCCAGATTTTGTAGATTCAAACAGCTTGTACCAAGAAAACTGGGAAATCAAATAGTTTGCTTCCTTCTTAACCAGTTGAACAAATATCCCAGTCTATTTTCTTGGTACATGATGTGTTTTTTTTTGCTCTTTCTTTCACTCTCTTGCATTTCCTTATTTCTGTCTTGCGCATACGAAGTATGTTGATTAGGGCCTTAGGGGTGATAGGAAAACAAACTTGGGTGCTACTCCTATGGATAAAAAGGGCACTCTGGTGCACGAAGCATCCCGTGTTTATGCAGGATCCGAGGAAGAGCCGCACCCTAATGGGGGTGTGATGTAGGCAGTCGACCCCTGATGCAAACACGGCTCTAACCCGTGACCAATAGTTCACACAAAAACAACTTTACCGATCTTCAAGGCTCCCTTTCCGCTACTCCTATGGATAATAAAATCAAACTATGCAAGCAAATAAATCAGTTGTTTTATTTTTCTAGCAACTAGAGGTGTCAAATGAGCGAGTTGGATACGGGTTGGATCAATGAATGGACCCTGATCAAATAGTCCGAATCGCCTAATGTTTGATTGGGTTGGATCAATGAATGGACCCTGATCAAATAGTTCGAATCGCCTAAAGTTTGATTGGATCAAGACGGATAGAGGAGTGAATTATAGTGCAACTTGTCCTGCCTAGTTTTGGTAATACACTGATTTTCAATAGGTTGGTGAATCCAAATTTAGGCCTGAATTTCTAGTAATTTGCCCTTAATTTCCAGAACTCTGATATGTAAAACAACAATCTAGAGAAAGAAAGTTCATCCACTGAAAAGTCTCTCAGTTGATTCCAATGAGAAATGGGAGCTCAATCATTTTACATCCAATTCAAAACTGACGATAAACTACTTTATGTGCCAAAAGGTAGAGATCAAATTGTAAACTAAAACACTTGCACCAATGATTATTCTAAAAAATGAACTCCTATCAAAAGGATATCTAGAGTTGTTCCTGAGGAAACACATATATAATAGAAAATGTCACAGTTACACTCCCAATTCTACCTACAGAAGACTTGAAAGGTACAATGATGTCTGCATCTCCTTCACTTGATTCTCAATGCCTTCTTAAAAGGCTTTTAATTTTTGGAACGTCACAACTGGAAAAGCTACTTGGCCGAAATTTCTGGTTGCAGAACATCACTTGCAAGTCATTGTAGAAAACCTGCGAGAATAAGAAGTCAGACTCAATTTCAAGAATGGCAAACCTAGAACCCATGTTTTTGGGCAGTAGGATATAATTGCTATATCAGAAACATCATCTGATTTTCTTGCAACGAGAGTTGGAAAGGAACTACACATACATTACAAGGTTAGTGACAGTATAATCGCCGAAATACTTGACCATCACACCAGTTGAAAAGATTCCAAATAGTTTCAATAACAAATTTAAGTGAACCGAACAGATCAAAAGTTTGAGCACAAGTACAATAAACAAGACCAGGACTATCAACTTAAAAGCGAGATCTGAGCAGGAACAGAATATCTAGCAGAGGTAAAAAAAAAAAAAAGTGAAAAAGTAAAATAAAAAATTAGAATTGACCACTTACTTTTATGATAAATGTTGTCACAAGTCGGATACAGGCAAGAAGTTTGTCGGAGCAACGATATGCAGTTTGTAGAGAGAATGTTGAGATGCTATACCAAACTTACGAACTATGAAGCAACTTCACATTTAATTTTCAAGTAGTAAAATCACTAATTTCTGTGAAAAGGATTTTAAGATTTCATTTCTAATTCGTTCCTTCTGCACATTTTTGCTCTTTCATGCTGGTATACATAGTTTTGGGATGAATTCATTTGCAACAATGTATTCGATGAAAACAAATTTATACTTGCGCCAAAACAACCTATTCTGTATTTTTCTTTACCTAGAGCACCTCAAGAAAAAATAACCAAAATAGCAGAAACTGAAATTTGTCAATTCTACAAATCAAGGAAAGCTATAGAAAGAAAACAGAAATGCAGTAGTAACTTGGACATCATGGCATCGATACAGTTCTCTTTTCTTTTTCCTTCTGTCCATAAACTATCACATATAGTATTAGTTATATGCACGGACTTACTACTTTGAATAGATCATTGATACAGCTTGATGAGGCTCTTGATATGAATCTGAGAGGCTGATTCTTTTCTTTTTTAATCGTTGAGGGTGATTTTTTTATAAGGAATATAATTGGTGATTTATCAATTGTATTGATTTCTTCGGCATCACAATCCTTATCCATGTCCCAGACAAGCAAACGGTTAACCACGACTTTTGTAAATCCGGTTAAGGATAGAACACAACTATAAGTTTTTGAAAAGGTAGTAGGAATTAACACTTGCACCAAAAACCCAGATGATGTAGCACAGGTAGAAAAGCAACTTTAAATTTGACTTGTTGAAAACAGACATAACTCGAAATCAGCTATTAACAATTTGAAAACTACCCAGAACACAGATTTAGTTACATGATATTAGGGGAAAAAACAACATCATATTCTTCAACCTTCAAACTACACGCAAATGTGTATGTAAATAAAAGTGAACCGACTACACATAAACAAGCTTACTCATACAAGAAAAATGGAGCTACCAAAGAGGGTTGAGTGAGTTCAAAAGAGAAACAAGGTCTCCGCGACCAAATAATCCTAGGATACTGGATATCTGAGAACAAAAGGAAGAGAAAAAGAGCATGTACCCAATTACCGAATGCTAGTGGCTCTGTTCCAAGATGATGAAAGAAGGGAGAAAGAGAAAAGAAAATTTGCAAAAAGACCCTCAAATATATAGTTTACATATAATGGACACAAGAAGTTCTTACCTTAAATCAATTTCTTTTGTAAAAGCTACAAAAGAAGTAAACTACCGAGGCTGTGAAAATGAATCAACAAAGACTTAGGCAAACATACCAATTATAGCTCAGTAAGTGTTGCCAGTGGAGGTCCGGCGGATGTGAAGTAAGGTCCAAGGTCAATATCCAGGTCATCATACATGGTGACGAAAGGGTGCCTCTGGATTTCATGAATTCCAATCAGTTACTATGAGTAATTGATTAATAAGAAACTTTGAGAAAGACAAAAAGTAACAATCTCTACCATGAGTTCATTTGCTGACAATCTGTCCTTCTGGTCCTTCTGCACGCTGAAACAAGTTATTGCATAATGAGCTTTCAAAGAACAGACGGTAACATAACTACATAGTCAGCTCAAACTAATGAGGATTGTAAGATTTGGAAGCAAGTTAAATCTGAAATTATGGTACTTACCACGCAGATATGAATGAGCAGAATTGTGGAGAAAATTGGTCGGGAGGTGCACTTGGTGCTGGTTGGTCAACTATAGTTTCCATAAGTTCATAGACATTGACCCATCCTTCATCTGCTTGGGGCGGTGAATATGGGAAAACACCTGTTGCACACTCGAGCAAAACTAAACCCAAGCTCCAAATGTCGCTTCTGTAACCATAGGCGCCTCCTAAAATTCTCTCCGGCTGTAGCACACAACAGAACATCAGCAACTTGGTTTTTAGCATAGGCAGATTGTACTACACATGGGCGGTCTAGTACTATACTCGCTTTTAGAAAAACAAGGTCGCAGATACTCACAGACATATAGTTGTAAGTGCCGACAAAGGTATTAGCAAGTCCAGATGTGCTTGCCAGCACTGCACTCACACCAAAGTCAGTGATTTTGACATCACCTATGTGATTGATTAGCAAATTCGAAGGTTTCAAATCCCTGTGAATAATATGTTTCTCATGATGAAGATACCACAAGCCTTTGAGAACCTAATTGGTGAAGGAGCAAGGTTTGATAAGATTAGAACTCGAGCAAAGTCTTCTCTTTGAGGAACTCAAATTGTTCACTTGTTACCTGTTTGCAGATGGCAGCAAGATATCGTTCGGGTATTGTCTTGACTTTTTTCAGAAAATCTGCTAAGGAGCCACCATCCATGTACTCCAAAATTATGGAGATAGCACCATTGTCAAAGAATGACTGATAGGATACGACAACATATGGACACTGAGATGACTGATTAATTCTCAGTTCTTGAGCAATATGCTTGCGCATGGACTCTTCAATATTCATCTGAATAACCTATTTAAAAATAAAACTGCTGGTCACAGCGGGAAATAAGAAAGCATAGATGGTAAAGTAAGGAGGCAGTGAGATATGCACATGAAAAATTGGACACTAGAACCAATTAATGTATTTATTCATTTAGAGGACAAATTTCTTAAGGTAGTCAGTAAGATGAGAAAACGGTGTAGCCAGTAGATTGGTGGAGATTGCAGGTAAAAAGAGGTGAAATGTTTTCAAAATATGTAAGCGAATAAAACCTAGAAAATCAAAGCACATATTGCTACCAACAACAGAAGTTATAAGGCAAGAAATGGATCAATAGGGAAGAAACGTCTCTGTGGAAGCATTTGCGCTCTCATTCGTGATGCAATCCTCAAAATTATTCTCTCATTTTTTTCAGATTAGGACTTCTTTTCATTTTTTAAAGGAATATCACACCAAATTCTTGAAAAACATCAAAATGATATGTAGACAGTCTCCTGCTAATCAAAGGAATCACCAACAACCATGATAAGCAGAATAGAGATGGTAGCTACATATACCTTGAGAGCGAAAAATTGCCCTGTCCATTTATGTTGAACCAGCCGTACAATACCACCATTTCCCTTCCCAATAACTTTAACTGCTTCAAAATCAGCTAAGCATAACTGGTTGTCTGATGGCTGTATAACTGATGGCTGAAGAAAAAAATTGCAAATGCCCGAATAAAATATGCCATGTTAGTTGCAATAGATTGCATAAGTGCATACAAAGAAGATGCAAAAAACAAAAATGCCCTGGTCTGGATTAATAACTAAGTGTCAATTCCAAAGTTCGACTCTGCGTATATGAATCCCCATTGTCCATGTCGCTCCATTTAACCCCGTCTCAGTCCAAAATTATAGAAAAACTTAGCTTCTCCAGCACTTGAAGTTCTCTACATTTCTACTGGCATATAAATCTCTAACAAGACTGAAGGACTTTAGCTAACATTGA